CCAGCCTCAGCCAAAGCGAGGCACTAAGCAACTCAGTGAGACCCTGTCTCTAAAGAAAATACATAAAAACACTGGGGATGGGGCTCAGTGGTCGAGTGCCCATGAGTTCAATCCTTGGTACCAAAAAAAAAGGCTGGGGGGCCAAGTATCCAATGCCCTTTTCCAATTGACCCTTCCTTTTCTGTTTTTGTCCTTTCTCTGTGTTGGTGGCAGAGGGTTGGAGGGTGCGGGTCTGACTTGTTCTTGGGCCCAGTTTGAAGAATCAAATCCATCCTCTCAGATCCATGTCTGTCTCTTCTTTCCACTTCTCCCTGTGCCAGTCAGTCATGCAGTGACTAGAGGAGCTGGTCTAGGAGTGAAGGACTACAGTGGGGAGGGTCTCTGGTCTCCCCCAACTGCAGCCAGGTCATCACACTACACATAAAAGACAAATATGTTCTTTTTTTTTTTTTTTCCATTGACAGTTTCTGAATTGGCCTGCTTTTTAAAAAGTTGGTTCCAATGATTTGCTTGTTGATTTGCTGTGTTTACACAGAAGTGCAAAGCTGTTCCTAAATATGAGCTCTTCCTGACAGAGTTTCTGAGAATTTAAGCCTGAGAGGAAAATGCCCATTCCACCCACTGTTCTTCCCTCTCTGCCTCTTCAACATCCCTGTGCCGCTCTCCGCATTCCATGAATGGCTATTTGGATGCATGGAAATGGCTAACACTCACGCAGCAACAGGATAGCCCAGTACCCGGGTACAATCCAATGGAAGGTTTCCAAGGGCAAGTTGCATGACCTTGTAAAAGGAATGGGCCTTTGGGCTGGGGCTATAACTCAGAGGTAGATCACTTGCCTAGCAAGCACAAGGTCCTGGGTTCAATCCCCAGAAACACACAATACACCAAGTAAAAGAATAAAAAACAGTTTTGGGACTTATCTAGATAAAATCCAAGAATGACCAGCTGACTAGCTCCCGCTATAATGGAGAACCAAGCACAATCTGTTCACACTTGATGCCCAGAGACCCCAGAAAAACAGACTAAGTTATGTAACACAAGGCTGGACCTGTTAGGACCAGTTGCTGTAACTGCAAAGCCGCTATTTCCTCTCGGATGTGGATAGAAAGGGAAAAAAAAAAAAACACTAAATGTCTACTTTGTAGTGCATGAATTTCATCTAACCTTCAGAACGTCATAGGGCAGTTATTTTTAACCCTATTAAACAGTGAAGGAAACTGAGGTCCAAAATGCTTAATAATTACCCGGTAAACAAGAACAAAACAGTCCCCAAGTGCATCTGATCTCAAAACCCATACTTTCTCTATTCCACCAATTACTCTACCTCTGGCCTAGAAGTAGTTGGATTCTAATCAGGAAATGTGGGAAAATACTAATTCATTTAACCCACCTGGCAGGGTGTGGCCACAATAACTGATGGTAATTACTGTTCTTGGCTATCAGGAATCCAGGAGGTTAGGGGCCTGACATGGGACACGCGGGTTTACGGCCAAACATTAAATCTATAAACTTTGGGAGATGGGCCTTAATTTTCTTCTGAGCCAAGCATGCGGCAGCTTTCCTTCCATGTACTCACAGAGAATCCATGGCAGGGGCCATGGGCCCTCCACACAATCCTGGTAGCAATGTGGAAGTCACCTAGCAAAAAAATAAAAAGCATGTTCCACCATGGCAGAACTCAATCATTAAATAGTTCTTCACGTGAAGCTAAAATCCCTCTAATTTCGGTTAGCCTCATTTCTGTCTCATGAAGTAACTCAGATATAAACTTGGCTCACCAAATGAAAGAAGACCACTCTTGTGTCCCTACTCTATTACACCTTCTCCAGATTAGTATCTCCCAGCCCCTCAGAAACTCCTAACAAGTAACAATTTCCAGACCCCTTTCCTCCTCCTGCCTTGTCTTGATATGCTTTCTCAGTGTGCAGGAGCTGGACTTTCTTCTCCCTCCTGTAGTGGACTAATAATGCAGGCTACTGCCTCCACCATTTGAGACTCTGAAATGCGACAATAGCTCTTGACCACTTTATCACACTGTCACCTTACCTATCAGTCATTAGCTAAGATGCCTACACCTTCTTTATGGGAACTACGATGGGCAGATATGTTAGTCAGCTTTTGTTCTGGGCCAAAATACCCGACAAGAACTACTTAGAGGAGGAAAAGTTTATTTGGGCTCATGGTTTCAGTGGTCTCAGTCCATGACCAGCCGACACCATTGTTCTGAGTCTGAAGTGAGACAGAACATCATGGCGGAAGGGCAGGGCAAAGGTGCCACTCAGCTCCTGACAGCCAGGAAACAGAAAGTGAGGAGCCAGGGACAACACATCCAAGGGCACACCCCCAGGGACCTGCTTCCTCCAGTTACGCTTCACCTGCCTAGAGTTACTCCCCAGTTGATCCTTCAACTGTTAATGAATTAATCCAGCAAAAGGATTTATCCACTGAGGAGGTCAGAATCCTCATCATCTGAAAGCCTCACCTCTGAACACTGCACAACTGGAGATCATGCTTCCAAAGCATGAGCTTCTCAGGGGACATTCCAGATCCAAATCACAGCAGCACACAACATCCATTCTGTATGTTCCTGGTTGGCTGCTGGCTTAATTACACAAAGCAATTCTGCCATCACAACTCCAAGGTCCTGCAGTACCAGGGGGCAGCAAGTCATCAGGATTCAAACGAGCTCATCTGAAGTGGCTCTATGCTCTCTGGTTACCTTCTTTCTTGTTATAGGCTTTGGTAACCTCAACCCTGTTTTTGCAGCACATTGTAGCTGCAAAATTGTTTTCCGGGGAGGAAGGGAAAATGGGGGAGTCATAACTACAGAATAAGTCCTCAGTCACTCTGAGTTCAGCCTCCTTTCTGCTTTTCAATAATGTTACGACCATTTTCACAGGCAGTGTGTCACTGCAACCTTCACAACCATCCTGTAAGAAAAAAGAGTTATCATTCCCATTACATAGGATTTGACAGACCAGGAATTGGAGGCTCTTGGAATTTAAACTTGTTGGTGGGGGAGGAAGTGGGTACTGGGGATTGAACCCAGGGGTACTTTATTACTGAGCTACCTCCCCAGCCCTGTTTGTTTGTTTGTTTAGTGGTTCTGGGAACTGAGCCCAAGGGTGCTTTACCACTGAGCTACACCCCCACCTCTTTTTTATTTTTTTTTTTGAGATAGAATCTCTCTAAGTTGCCTAAGCTGTCCTCAAATTTGCAGTCTTCCTACCTTAGCCTCCCAAGTTCCTGAGATTACAGGCATGCATCACCATGCCCAGCAGAATTTAGACAATTTGTCCAAGGTCGCACAAAAAGAGGCAGATTCAAGAGTTCAGCCTATGTCATCTGCTTCCAAATGCATGATTTCTACTACAACAAGAAAAAAGAGACACCCAGTTCTATATAGGAACTGACACTAAACTGAATTAAAAAATCAAGTTAAAGGGCTCCATCTGTATTCAAAATAGTGTGGACAGCATGAGTGGTAGCATAGTGATAGTGGGTTTAAGATACCCCTTCCAAGACCATTCTTGCATCTCTCAGTGTCCTAGGACCTTGGAGAACCTAAGACATGTCAGCAATGAAAGACACAAATAGACTTCACTTAGCCCCGCAATCATTCATTGTTTCATCCCTTGTCCCAAAGTCCAGCTTTCTTTCCAACTATGTCCCTCAATTTGGGGTCCTCCATCCCTTGAGTTATTCATACCCATCTTACTGTAATCTGTCCTCTTAAAACTTAGCCTAGCCTCTCTTCCCAGATCATCTTTTCTCCTCAAACATGCAGGCCTTTAGGACACGCATGGTGGAGCACATCTGTAGTCCCAGTGACTCAGTTGGCTGAGGCAGGAAGATCACAAGTTCAAGACCAACCTTAGCAACTTAGCAAAGTCCTCAGCAACTTAGTAAGACTCTGTCTCAAAGTTTAAAAAAAATTAAAGAGGACTGGCATTATGGCTCAATGGTAAAGCACCCCTAGATACCCAGTACCCACAGCACACGTGCACGTGCGCGAACACACACACACACACACATACACACACACAAAATCAGGCATTTGAAACACTAATACAGTGTTCAAGGTACAAGCATGGTATGTGCTGCATCTAGCTCATTTGTAGTTCTCTCATTTATCTGAGCTGCCTGACCACGTCCCACATCTTTAATGATCGCTCCTTCAGAGAATCTTCCTCCTCAATCTGATTGCTTCCATACTCTTTCCCAGAGCTCTGTGGACTTACTGGGGAAATGGGATTTGGCCTTGGCATATGGGTTCTAGTTCTATATGCATAGGCCCTTCTGCCCATTAGAGCAAGAGTCTAGTCCTATATGTTCTACTTTCTTGATCCCTATCCCACACAACTGGTCACAAAGGAAAGAATTCATGCATTTATTTGACGAATGCTTACTGAACACAGATAACGTTCCCAAAAAAGGTCCTGGGCATGAGGAACATGAAGACAAGCAAAGTCCCTTCTCACATTCTAGACAGAGGAAGATAGGTGATAACATGCTGGCAATTTCACCAAGAAAACCAATTCAAATACTGATAAGCACTCTGACGACAGTACAACGGCACATCATCACAGTGACCGGGAAGAACGATTTTGACTGTGGTCCCAGGGAAGACCTGTCTGAAGAGGCAACATTTGAACTGAGATAGGGCAGAGAAATTCAGGGAGTGGACTCATCATAAACAGTGATTGGTTAAATGGTTGGGTGGGCGAGTGGTTGGGTGGCTAGCTGGGTGACTGGGTGGTAAGTGATTAGGTGGCTTAGTTGTTGGGTGTCTGAGTAGTTGGGTGGCAGCATGACGAGGTGGCTGGGTGGCTTGTTGGCTTAGTGACTGTGGGTTGCTGTGTGCCTAGGTGGCTTGATGGCTGGGTGTCTGGGTAGCTAGATAGCTGGATGACTTAGTGGTTGGATGGTTCAGTAGTTAGTTGGTTGGTTGATTGACTATGAACATAAGCAACCAATGAAGTAGAGTCCTCCCAGTATGAAAATTCTGATATTTAATCAAATCATATCATTTTTCCCTCTAGCAGTTTCCTGTGTTGGAAATAATGGTAAGTCTTACCCACATCTTTTCTGACCCCACATGTGTCTCTGGGCATGTTCTGTGGTTCTGGGGAGAGACTTCAAACTAATACTTGGAGCTGACGGAAAGAGGAGTAGTGGGGAAGCAGGGCCCATCCTTTAGGAACCCTGTGAACATCCCTACTTTGCTCCTGGGGTGGGAACAGGGGGTCCTAAGCATCCAGGGAAATCCAGGCCAAAGCAAGATGTGCTGGGGCTCACCTCAGGGCTCCCTGTTTGATCACTCATCATTACTCTCAGGCCATTAATCCTGGTTCCTAAGACCATCTGGGACTAGTGGGTATCTGGCCTGATAAAGAGGTACAGCCTGGGGACAGGCCCAGCCTAGTATGTACTGCAGATGAGGCCTGAGCCCTGATCTTCTCTCGTCCGTCCGTGTCAGGCCACATAATGTGTTCTAATAAGAAAAGCAGAGAGAATAAATCTCTTCCGTGACTGATGGAAGATGAAGCCCCCTCCTGAGGATGGGCCTGGGGAAGCCTGACCCGGAAAGCAGGAGGGAGAAAACCCAGGCCGTAGCACCTCTGACACCCCAGGCCACCAGCTCCTCTCTGGTGGGCAGGGATGCAGCTCTTACCAGCCATGAAGGCTGCAGAAAGTGTCACATTGGGGCAGCTGGGGACCAAAAAGCCAATCAAAGGAAGTTGAGATGGAGACAGAAGGTCTGAGGCAAGGCGATGGGTGACTCAGCCAAACTTCTCAAGGTGGGATAGAGGAAAACGCAAAACGCCAGGAGAAAAAGAGTGTGGGACGGGAAGAAAGCCAGAGAGAGGAGAAAGGGGAAGAATAAAGAAAGGCAAGAGGAAGGAGAGGAGAAGAAAAAGACGTCAAGGTCCTGTCGGGTCTGCTCTGGCCGGACTGGAGAATCGAGAGCTAGCAAGGGCTGGGAGGTCTTAGCTGGGGGTGGAGACGGGAAACTGGGCTGACGGATGGCAGCCCCAGGATGACCCTGTGCCTGTGTCTCCCAGTCTTGCTGGACCTTCAGTTCCTGCCGGACCCTGTATTTGAAGGAGAGGTCTTGACTCTGAAATGCCAGGGATGGATGCACACACAGCTGTCCCAGGTGACGTTCTACAAAGATGGAAAACCCCTGGATTGCTCTAAGAACCACCAAGTTTGCTTCATAGAGACAGCAACAGTGAAAAACAGCGGCCAGTATAGCTGCAAAGGACAGAAGACGTATACCACACGCTGGCTCACGTACACCTCAGAGGCCATCATGGTTCAAGTCCAAGGTGAGTCACCACCTCAGAGGGGTTGGTGGGGCAGTAGGATGCTGCTCAGGGATCCAGTCTCTAGAGGTCAGTAGCCCTCTGGACAGGATTCCTCTCTCTGACTACCCCTGATGTGGGGCCAGTGCTTGGGGTCCCAAGGGTTCATGATGGTGTCTGAATGTCCTCCTCACCCCCACGGGCCATGTCTGGAGCCAGGGGAAGGAGGGTGAATTGGAAAGAGCCCTGGTCCAGCTTAGTCACTCGTTCTTTTTCTCCGTGGACCAGATGACTGCTAAGGGGCCTTCTGGCTCTGACTCCTGGGATTCCCGAGGGCTTGCTTGGCTATGTGGGAGTTGTTCCAGAGCTGGTGGGTGGGGACAAGAAGACAGGTCCTGGGGATGGAGCTGTCTCCCGTGTGGGTCAAGGAGCTGCAGCCTGAGCTCAGTCCTTGGCCTCCAGGGCCTCATTGTCCAGGACTCCCCTCCTGAGCCCTGGGCCCGTGTTTTCCCAGAGCTCTTCCTGCCTCCTGTGCTGAGTGCCATCCCCTCTCCTGAACTTGGCGAGGACAGCCCATTGACCCTGAGATGTCAGACGAAGCCACATCCCCAGAAGTCCACCTGGCAGCTCTTCTTCTCCTTCCATAAGAATGGCCACACCTTGCAGGAAAGGAGTCTCCACCCAGAGCTCTCCATCCCAGAAGTCAAGGAGAGAGACTCTGGGCTTTACTGGTGTAAGGTGGCCCTTGAGGGTCACAGGGTCCAGAAACAGAGTCCTCCGCTGGAGATCAAGGTGCAGGGTAAATGGGTGAGGGAAGGGGCCACAGTCCCCAGGGTTCCAGGCGGCAGGCAACAGGACCCCTGGGGAGTGGGGGAGGGTCCCACGGGAGGAGGGGCCCTGGAATCTGACAGTCAGGCTGACTTTTCTACCCCATGTGCTGTCCCAGCTCCTGTGTCTCGTCCTCTGCTCACTCTGCAACCCAGGGCTGCTGGCCTTGCTGTGGGGGACGTGGTGGAGCTCCTCTGTGAGGCTGAACGGGGCTCCCCTCCCATCCTGTACTCGTTCTATCTCAACGGGGAGATCCTGGGGAACTACTCAGCTCTCCACGGGGAAGCCGCCCCCCTTCGCTTCCTGCTGAAGTCAGAGCAGGATGCTGGGAACTACACCTGTGAGGCTGAGAACATCATCTCCAGAGCCAGCAGTGGGCCTGTAAAGCTCTCTGTGAATGGTACGTTTGGTCCCCACACCAGGCTCTGAGCCCCAGAAACCTGGCAAGAGTCTGATCACACCCAACATAATGATGGGCTCGGGGCAGGCTCTGCATGACTGAGATGGGCCCCCACAGAAGGAACTGTCCACTGAACCTGGCAGGGAGTGGGGGACCTTGTCTGGCGGGGGGTGGGGGAGGTTATATGGTCACCCATGACACTACCTGATTATACAGGTATCCTCCGAGCCATCCTTCATTCCCCTTTCAAGGCTCCCCGGGACCCTATGTTTCCCCTAAAGTCAATCATTCTGCCTCTCTGTGCCAGTCTGGGTTGCATTTCTGAAATTCATCCTCAAGGCTCATGGTCACCTCTCCTCCCTCCCCCCCACCCCAGGTTCTCAAGACATGTCCACCTTTATCAGCAGCAACCAGCTGGTTGCCTGGCTCCTTGCATGTGTGCTGGGCCTGATGGTCATTGCTGCTGGACTTCTAGCTTATTTCAGACCTTGGAGGAAAGCTGGTTAGTAACTCTTTGGGTTTCCTGCGTGGCTGAATCCCTAGGCCAGGCACTGCCCAGCCTTTGAGAAGCCAGCACTTGTCGAGATCAGACACTGTCTCCTCTTGAGTGTTGGGTGGGAGGAGGGATTTCTCTTCCCATGTCATACAAAAGAGCACGTGGAGGGACACACACAGCATCCAGAACATACACGCACACACACACACACTCTATCTCACATGCCCACAGGCATACAGGGAGGCACAGTACACACAACTGAACACTAACCTGAACAGAAGCACAGATGAAGGGATTCTTCCAAGCCAAATGTGATGTACATCCCTGTCCTTCACGTTAAAAAAAATTATTTGTGGTCATAAATATGACTGAAAAAAACCAAGGCCTCCAACTCTCTCATTAAACTCAGCAGAGCTCTGGTGAGCTAATAGAACAGAATGAAAAAATGAGACCTACAGTGCATATGTGCGCTCGCTCTCTCTCTCTCTCTCTCTCTCTCTCTCTCTCTCACTCACTCACACACACACACACACACACACACACCTCTTGAATAGTGTTGTTCGTGAATTTTGACTCATCTAAAATGAAACATGACAGAGAGGCTGAGCGATGGCCTGGTCCCAACACAGCTGTTTACTAGTTCCGTAGCCTTAGGCCAGTTCATTCTAAGACTCACCGAATCGTCTTCCTCTCAGGGATGTTGTGAAGATGTAAGTTAATGAGACATCGTGCATCTCCTGCCTAACGTGTTTGATTGGCAGGTAGCAGGTGCTTAGCAAGTCCTCGTTCCAGTCCGAGCAGACGACCCCAGCAGGTTCCACAGGCTGCCCTTTCTCCTGCTGTTCGTTTTCTAGTTCCTCTAATCCAATTCACCAAAAATCAAAGGCTTGGTTAAAACTCTGACATTGAGGATTCTATAGAGAAGGAGTGAAAATAATCAGAGACGTAGAATTCAGAGGCCACCTATTAATTTTGATACCCCAGATTCCTCTTCTTCCTGTCCTGGTGATGATGATGCAGCCTGGTGACGAGCATTGGCTTTCAGAGCCGTCACTTTGGGTGGCTACATGTTTATCCCAACTCATCCACGTTCCCTTCAGGTCACATTTAAAGGAGTAGGTATCAGTGCCAGAGCTGTTCGGTGCCTGTGTGTTCCTGGGGCTTTACCTCTGCCTACAGGGGTTCAAATTAACCCTACTTTCTCCTCCACTGGGGCAGTGTTCCTATTTTCTACTTGTCTAGGGCAAAAGCGAAAGCACTCATAGACCTCCAAAGCTAGATTGACTTATTCAAGCGTTCAGCTCCCACTGTTAAGATATGAGTGAGAAGTTGTCCCAGAGCAGAGCCACCCAAGGTGGTCAAGGAATACCACCCAGTCATTAGTCCAAATCTGTCCTTGACCGTCAACCAAGTTATCTGCAAGGTGCTCTCCCCAGCCCCAGTCTCTCGCCTCAGCAGTTAGGGTTTGAGCTATCCTTCAAGTTCCTCTCTCCTTTTGAATGTTCTCATCAGTTCACAGTTTTTACCCACCCAACAGCAGGAGAAGGGGCACTCCTTCCCACTAGTCTTAAGTCTGCAGGCTACATTTGCTTTCAGGTGTCTCTATAAGGTAGGAGAAGGTGGAGACAGACCCAGAACAGGGTGGGGAGACTGCTGGACCAAGGGACCACAAACCAAAGATCTGTGAGTCCCATCATCCCTGCCTCTATAATAAAGCCTCCCCGATGGCCCAGCTTGGCCTCAGAAACACAGGCATTTCTGTCCACTTATCTCTGGATCAGAGAACTAAAGGCAGGTAACATATACAGCCACCTCCCTCCCCAGCCCCAGACAAGACACGCTCCAGGGGCCCATCCCTCATGCAAACAGGACTCCTGGTGGTGCTCCTGATATCTCAGATTCTCAGGAGCACAGAATATACTTTAGAACATTACTCAAAAAGCCACTTTCAGCCCCAATTCCACAGCCACACAAGAAAAAAAAAAAAACAGTCATTTTAACAGCTTTATTCTTCTTACCCTCCTCTACAAGACTCTCAGCTATTTCCAGAGAGCATATCCATTGCTCAACTACAAAAGCCACAAACAAAACATCCAAAGGACTGAATGTCTGAAGGCAGTTTTTCCAAAACGTATTGACCAACGATGGTGTCATTGTCACGTACGAGTACACTTCAAAGCAGCATTCACCCACATGTTCAAGTTTGGGGTGTTTGTTTAAAAGTGTTCATTTTACTACTCGTCACACCTCCCATAAAACAGAGTTCCATCCAGTTCATGGAACTCTTCATTGGAGGGAGACTCAGAATCACAGCCCTGGCAGATGAGCATTAAGGGAAGTTTAATAACCAGGGGCCCCGTCTGAGTCGCCATAAATGCCCTCTTGGTTTTACAGGAGGGGCCTTTTCCACAGGTGCTACCTGGTGACTGTGGTGCCTTCTTGATGTTAGAGCTAATGAGCACGTCTCGGGCGCTAGGCAGAAACCAAGCGTTCTGGAATCCACAGGTGACACAGTTCCTGCCCTAGCAGTTAATTTTCCATTCTGGAAGCACCTACTCTCTAAAGGCAGAATGCTAGGGGAGGAAAAAAGCATACAGACCTAGCTTCTGATTTCCCCAATGACTGTGACCTTAAAGAAGTCACCTGGGTCGGCCTCAGTCGCCTCATCTATCAAATGGAGACAACAGTATCCACCTTTGCAAGATGATTATAAACAATACCAAGCATCAAAGACTTAGTAAGGGAGACTTTTGGAAGTCCAACTACTGCTGGTCACTGGGCGAAGTGCTTTAGTATGAAGGAGACATTTTACATGACATTCCCAGTCCAGGGTCTGGCACATAGTAAGTGGTCAACCTTATCAGCTTTTCCTCCTTCCCAGAAGTGGCCTCGCTTGTGGGTCTGGGCCCTTTCTGTACAAGGGTGTGACCCATCCTTCTTGACCCTGCTTCCTCCAGCTGGTGATTCCCATGGAGCCATCCTACCCTCTAGGGTATTTTTCAAAAGAAACATCCCATAAAAATGAATCGTGTCCAGACCTGTGAATTAAGCCTCATAAACCAGCCAGCCGCAGGCCTCGGGCAGCTCCGTCACCATCCTCCTCACAGACTTTCTGTCCCCACTCTTCCACCTGCTCTGTGAGGGAGGCTCAGGAAATTGTGCCTGTGTGTCTCCTAGGGACCCTTCCATCCCGGAATCTACCCTCAGCTCCAGGAGGAGAGCAGTGCCCGCTGTATGCAAATGGTAAGGACGTCCAGCAGGACCACCCCCAGTCCAGGAAGTGGACAAGGGCCTCTTGTTGATGTAGGAGGTCTCCCTGAGCCCAGAGTTTTCTAGAATCTGAGTCATCTGGGAGAGGAAGATGACAGCCTCAAGGGAGAGTCTGAGCAATGAGTGCTGTGGAGCTGGCGATGGGAGAGGGAGGCCGAAAGGGAGCCAGGACTCCAGGGAAGAAGGCAAGGAGGGTTTAGACCAAAGGTCAGCAAACCACGGCCCATGGGCCAAACCTGGCCTGCTGCCTGTTTTTGTAAATGTAAAGTTGTATTAGAACACAGCCACATTCACCTTTTTTCTTACATATTTTATAAAGCTACTATCACACTATAAAGTTGAATAATTGCAATAGAAAAGATACCACCTAGGCTGGGCTTGTAGCTCAGTGGTTGAGCGCTTGCCTCGCAGGCGTGAGGCGTTGGGTTCGATCCTCAGCACCACATAAAAATAAATAAATAAAACAAAGATATAAAAAAAAGAAAGAAAGAAAAGATACAACCCACAAAGCCTAAAACATTTACTGTTTTTTCATATAAATGTTTGTCCACCTTTGGTTTAAACAGGCTAGGAAAACTGCTAAAGTCTGTTGAGGGGGGCAGGCCCCTGACAGGATGAATACCCCCACATTACTGATAGGTCTCCACAGCTAGTTATCACCAGGACAGAGCCCCTGACTGGATTCTCTCTGTAAGTGTCTTCAAGACACTCACGGCTGGAGGTGGGAGAGTCAAGTAAATCCCATTTAAACTTCCTTCCTTCTTCCAGTACCTTACCAGAAAGACAAAGGTGAAAATGTTACCTACTCTCTGGCGCATACCAAGAGGAAAGAAGGTGAGTGAACTGTGGCCAAG